TCGGTTTGAACTCTCTTCCTACGGGCGGGAGGAACCCGAAGGAGGCTACGCCGAAGGGCGGAGTCTCCTTCGTGGAGGTAAAACCGGCCCTGAACCCATTTATACGGGTTCAAATGGGCTATTTTTGGCCGAGCCTAATGGCTCGGGAATTCCCACGTTAAAAAAGGCCTTGTGCCACATGACACCCTCGTAGGGGGACTGAATATTGTCAGAAGTTTTTGAACCGACTACACGGTTGTACTCTCTTCCCTACGGGAGGGAGGGAAGGAGACTCCGCCCTTCGGCGTAGCCTCCTTCGGGGAGGTAAAACCGGCCCTGAACCCATTTATACGGGTTCAAATGGGCTATTTTTTTGGCCGAGCCTAATGGCTCGGGAATGCCCACGTTAAAAAGGCCTTGTGCCACATGACACCCCTCGTGGGGGGGGACTGAATATTGTCAGTCGTTCAAGTTTTTGAACCGACTGCTCGGTTTGAACTCTCTTCCCTACGGGCAGGAGGAACCCGAAGGAGGCTCCGCCGAAGGGCGGAGTCTCCTTCGGGGAGGTTAAACCGGCCCAGAACCCGTTTATACGGGTTCAAATGGGCTATTTTTTGGCCGAGCCTAATGGCTCGGGAATGCCCACGTTAAAAAGGCCTTGTGCCACATGACACCCTCGTGGGGGGGTGACTGAATAGTGTCAGTCGTTCAAGTTTTGAACCGACTGCTCGGTTTGAACTCTCTTCCTACGGGCGGGAGGAACCCGAAGGAGGCTACGCCGAAGGGCGGAGTCTCCTTCGGGGAGGTTAAACCGGCCCTGAATCCGTTTATACGGGTTCAAATGGGCTATTTTTGGCCGAGCCTGATGGCTCGGGAATGCCCACGTTAAAAAGACCTTGTGCCACATGACACCCTCGTGGGGGGGTGACTGAATATTGTCAGTCGTTCAAGTTTTGATCTGACTGCTCGGTTTGAACTCTCTTCCTACGGGCGGGAGGAACACGAAGGAGGCTACGCCGAAGGGCGGAGTCTCCTTCGGGGAGGTAAAACCGGCCCAGAACCCGTTTATACGGGTTCAAATGGGCTATTTTTTGGCCGAGCCTAATGGCTCGGGAATTGCCCACGTTAAAAAGGCCTTGTGCCACATGACACCCTCGTGGGGGGGTGACTGAATATTGTCAGTCATTCACCTCTGAACTGACTGTTCGGTTCAACTCTCTTCCTACGGGCGAGAGGAACCCGAAGGAGGCTACGCCGAAGGGCGGAGTCTCCTTCGGGAGGTCGCTCGGCCCAGAACCCGTTTATGCGGGTTCAAATGGGCTATTTTTTGGCCGGGCCTAATAGCTCGGGAATGCCCACGTTAAAAAGGCCTTGTGCCCATGACACCCTCGTGGGGGGTGAATGAATATTGTCAGTCGTTCATCTCTGAACTGACTGTTCGGTTCAACTCTCTTCCTACGGGGGGGGGAACCTGAAGGAGGCTACGCCGAAGGGCGGAGTCTCCTTCGGGAGGAAAAATCGGCCCTGAACCCGTTTATTCGGGTTCAAATGGGCTATTTTTTGGCCGAGCCTAATGGCTCGGGAATGCCCCACGTTAAAAAGGCCTTGTGCCACATGACACCCTCGTGGGGGGGTGACTGAATATTGTCAGTCGTTCACCTCTGAACCGACTGTTCGGTTGTACTCTCTTCCTACGGGCGGGAGGAACCCGAAGGAAGCTACGCCGAAGGGCGGAGTCTCCTTCGGGGAGGTAAAACCGGCCCTGAACCCGTTGATACGGGTTCAAATGGACTATTTTTTGGCCGAGCCCAATGGCTCGGGTATACCCACGTTAAAAAGGCCTTGTGCCACATGACACCCTGGTGGTGGGGGTGACTGAATATCGTCAGTCGTTCAACTCTGAAGCCACTGTTCGGTTAAACTCTCTTCCTACGGGCGGGAGGAACCCGAAGGAGGCTACGCCGAAAGACGAAGTCTCCTTCGGGGAGGTAAAACAGGCCCTGAACCCGTTTATACGGGTCAAATGGGCTACATTTTGGCCGAGCCTAATGGCCCGGAAATGCCCACGTTAAAAAGGTCTTGTGCCACATGACACCCTCGTGGGCGGGGTGACTGAATATCGTCAGCCGTTCAAGTCTGAATCGACTGTTCCGTTCACCTCTATTCTTACGGGCGGGATGAACCCGAAGGAGGCTACGCCGAAGGGCGGAGTCTCCTTCGGGGTGGTAAAACCGGCCCTGAACCCGTTTATACGGGTTCAAATGGGCTACTTTTTCCCCGCGGCTAATGGCTCGGGAATGCCCACGTTAAAAAGGCCTTGTGCCACATGACATCCTTGTGGGGGATGACTGAATATCGTCAGTCTTTCAACTCTGAACCGACTGTTCGGTTAAACTCTCTTCCTACGGGCGGGAGGAAACCGAAGGAGGCTACGCCGAAGGGCGGAGTCTCCTTCGGGGAGGTAAATCCGGCCCTGAACCCGTTTATACGGGTTCAAATGGGCTATATTTTGGCCGAGCCT